TCTAGACTAAATATGAATGTGCCCCATATATTAAACATTATTACAGTGTGATACACATAGTGTACTAATCTTCACCCCTTCAAATCTCAGGCTTATTACATTCTAAAGCTTACTATTAAGTAATCACATGTAAACAGTGCAAACTTGAGTTATTCTTAAGTTATAGAAGTGTGTGATAAACATTTTACAATTTAAGGGGTTAACAGTGATTTTGATAGGTCAGTTTGCGAAATATTAACATACTGCACCGTTTTGTACTAAATAAAAGTGACAAAGTGATGCTGCTATGCAATCATGTCATCTCAAGTTGCTATCATGTAGACTAAATCGATACCACCATTGAATTTAAATAAAAATGTTTAATCAAAGTATCCAGTGACACTATACTCAAATTGACAATATTCTTAATTTGCACACTGGATTTGAGGACTTGTAATTAAACGTCATATTATATACTTAAAAAAATCAGTCAGGAATAGCCACGCCACAGTCCTTGTGCGGGCAACAAGCCTTGGACCAGCTGGTACCAATAGTTTGAATGACTGCTGTATTTTCCAAATGCCAGTGGTGCCTGACGGTCAGAGGCATGGGCAACATCCAATTAAATCACGTCCTGCTAAGTCAAATTTTAATTAATAAATGTGCTGATTTTCTAATAATCAAAAACCAAATTTATTATGTTATTAATTACAAATATATACACTGATCAGCCATAACTTTGTGACCACCTCCTTATTTCTACACTCATTGTCCATTTTATCAGCTCCACTTACTATATAGGTGCACTTTGTAGTTCTCTGTGACACTGACGTGGTGGTGGTGTGTTAGTGTGTGTTGTGCTGGTACGAGTGGATCAGTCAGAGCAGAGTTTTCAAACACCTCAGTGTCACTGCTGGACTATGAATAGTCCACCAACCAAAAATATCCAGCCAATAGCGTCCTGTGGGTAGCGTCCTGTGACCACTGATGAAGGTCTAGAGGATGACCAACACAAACTGTGCAGCAGCAGATGAGCTATCGTCTCTGACTTTACATCTACAAGGTGGACTGACAAAGTAGGAGTGTCTAATAGAGTGGACAGTGAGTGGACAGTGTTTAAAAACTCCAGCAGCACTGCTGTGTCTGATCCACTCAGACCAGCACAGCACACACTAACACACCACCACCATGTCAGTGTTACTGCAGTGCTGAGAATGATCCACCACCCAAATAGTACCTGCTCTGTGAGGGTCCATGGGGGTCCTGACCACTGAAGAACAGGGTAAAAGGGGGCTAACAAAGTATCAGAGAAACAGATGGACTACAGTCTGTAACTGTAGAACTACAAAGTGCACCTATATAGTAAGTGGAGCTGATAAAATGGACAATGAGCGTAGAAACAAGACACTGTTAGCCTCAAAGACCTACAAAGGTTTACTTAAACGTCTAAAATACTTTTATTTGAAAAAAATCTAAATACAAAAATAGTCCAACATTTTAATTATACTGTCATATATATTTTTGGCCATGCCGCCCACCACTACTGTGGCATTACCATATTACCTACCTTGCTGAAACGGGCTACTGGACAAAGGTGCCATTCATACTGACTGATAGGCCTCTCAGTGTATTTACACGGGGTTAAAAGCAGCCTTTCAGTCAAAATTAGCAGATCCTTTTATTTCCAAACACTCTGAAATAGATCAATTTTAGATAGAAATCTGGATTCCTAGCCATCATGGGAAAGCAGCTCTTGCTTGCCTACCACCACACCCCCCACCATAGCATAGACAAAGGGGCGACTGCTAGGAGGTGTGATCGGTTGATGATACTTTAGCCAGTTCAGACACCTGTGTCACAACACAGACACAGGTGAAAAGTTCGTATTTGTACCTTTTCATAACCGAATGTTTTAAACAGAACAGTAAAATAAAGTCCTGGAGACGAGACGGGGTGTGTGGAGTCAGTACAGCTTAGAACATAACGTTTCAGTGGATTATGATTCAGTTATGTTCCCTGACTAAAGGTACTGAGATGGACCCTTGAAGGTACCACCCCAGTGACGAGAAAGGTACTGCCCCTGTGACAGTTTCCTATCTGTATTTCTGAGAGTGTAGATCAAGGCTGTTTTCCTTAAGGCGTGGCACCATTTCATGACACTAACAATGAAGACTTTCCAGACAGGAAAGCATTAAAAACAAACGCGAGGCATGTACGAGAAGTTTCTATGCCGCTGTGGTGTTTGCCCTGGCGCAGCGGTGTGTATTACTGGTCGTTACAGGCCGCAGCCCAGCCTGCTGTGTTGTACGCCTTTGTCAGAAATGAAAAGGATGAGCAGTGATAAGCCATAGCTGTACCAACGCATCACGATCATTATTTGCTGCAGTGTGCACCGTTCAGTCGAAGCACGCTGACATGCTTTTATGTGTAAGCCAGTGCGGCGTCCAGTCACGCTCAAAAAAGATTAAACCCAAACATCCAGACATCACAGAAAGCAAAGATAGGAAAATGTGAAGACTCTTCTCCTCTTTACTCTCTGTGATGTCTGATCATCGAATGCAAAATCTCTGGGGTTTAATCTTCTTCTTAATCTCTGAGAATCGTGGCGCATCCTAGAAAACACAAGTTAATCCAGTGTCCCAAGTTAGAGACCGACCTGAAGACCTAAAACAAAGTTTATCATCAGAGGGAGGAGGAATATGACTTTGGTGGAAAGAAATGAGCAAACTGGCAAACATCTGCTGATGCAATGATACTGGGGCTGTCACGATTAATCGACTGAACTTGATTACCCATTTGAAAAGGAGTGATTATAATTTTCCTTCCTGATGAATCGCAAATGGCTAATTAGTGATATGCATGATGAAAATACACTTTACTCTGAGATGTAAACAAAGTCATTCAGAGGGGTTTGATGTAGTGATAATGGTAAAACAGTGGTAAATCTGGGGGACTATTTTGCCTTACAACACCCTGCAGGTATCTCTCCACTAAATACATACATACATAAATAAATAAATAAGCTCTGCTAGAAATATGAAATATTTATTTACTAATATATATTGAGGATTTTGGCATAAAACTTCTTTATATTCATTCATGGCGGAGGGGAACACGCAGGGCATTGCAGTGTAAAATAATATCAAACTTAAACTTATTTTTTAACCTTTTATCACTTTAATTACATGTAAAAACCATGAAGACCTTGCGAGCCCTGGTTCCTAAGACCACCACTGTAGAGAAATCAGAGTTGGTATGTTCCTCTAGAACAGAGAATTCCACATTAAACCACTCCAAATTACTTTGTTTACATCTCATCTGACAACTGACTTACTCATAAATTCTGAAAAATTGGTGGAATTCCACTTTAAAAAATAATTTAAAAAGTACTAATTAATACTCCAAATACTCAGTAGTTGATATGGGAATTGTGGGCCAATGACTTATATTTTATATATGCAATAACTTGGACTGCATCTACCTGGATTAGCTTTACAGATGAAAACATATTTATTTCTACAAGGTCATAAATGCAATATGAGGCTATAATGAATAAATTGCAGACATTTTAGCAAAGTTACCCAAAACACTCTGTTGTTGCAGAATACAATGAATATATAATCGAATATCAGTTTGAAATATTATCTCTGATATTTTTGTGCATCCCTACTAACAGAGTTGTACCACTTGAAGGGGAACTCCACTAATTTTTCAAAATTTCTGCATAAATAAATGGTTTACATGTAAACAAAGTCATTTAGAGCAGTTTGGTGTGAAACGCTCCGTTCTAGAGAAACGAGCATATATCGGTCTTCATAAGGTCAGCACCCCGCTGACTGTTTGCTACTGCTGGTCCCCCCTCGGACCACCAGATTACTGTCCTGCATACAAGCTCTAACTAGTTTTTAATCTCCTCAAACAGGTTTTAAATGCACACAGACTTTTATTTTAGAAAACAAACAAGGACACATATTCCAAACAAATGAGAGGAAAAAAATAATGACTAGGCCTGATATAAAATGATTTTATAGCAAATGTTGTTATTGACACTGAGCTGGATTAAAATGATTTACTAAACTAATTCACAAAGCATAACTAAAGAAAGGAAGGAAGCAAAAATCAGTAAATTGGACAGTGAGTGGAAAATGAGTGATGATAAGTGGAATTCTGTCTAATACTCTAACGCCATCAGCGGGCCAACAGTGGTCCACTATCCTCTCTCTATCAGGGCCGAAATCAGAGTCTGGTAGTTTCTCTACAGGTAACCTCTTCACATTAAACCACTATGAATGACTCTGCATCTTGATGACTGAATTACACAGAAATTTGGGGAAATCGGTGGAGTTCCCCTTCAACCCCCGTGCTTTCAAAGTGATGCATGATCCCTCCGCGGCATTCCTACACACCGCTTATGTAGGTCATTCTATGGAGATCCCGCAGCTGGTATAGCGAAGCGTTTCTCTCTGAGTGCTCTGAAGATGAGACTCGTGCTGTGTGTCAGCATCTCAGCCTAGCGTGGCTACGCCTAGACTCCCTGTCCTCCGGGGGTACACATCACTGAGAGGACAGGAGGGGAGAATAGGGGAGAGGAGAGGAGGGGAGAGGAGAGGAGAGGAGGTGCCTCCTACAGCCCACCGCTGCACACAGGAGCATGGACGCCTCCTGCCATGCCAGCGGACTGTGCGTAAACACAGGCTGTCTGTTCCACTAACCCACATCCCACCCACAGCACGCTGCAAGGGCTATCCCTGCTAATCTCTATGTATCCCACACGACGAGGCTGGAGCTTGCTATTCGAATTTCCCCGGTCCACCTTTAATGCCGCACCATTTAAGGTGGACCGGGGTATAGGCGAATAGGAAGCCGCCTTCAGCGTCGTCGTAAACACATTCAGGCCTTCAATTCTACTCAGCCACGGCCTGTAACAGAGAGAAACTCATCTAAAGGATGGTTCAATTCCCTGTCAGCCGCACAGACGGAGATACAGGCAACGACGCGCGATAGCATTAAAACACCCTCACCGTTCAGGCGACGCCGGACTCGCCCAGTGAAGCCCTCCAGACGAGAGACGAGTCCAGTCGTATTGTGCTGATGTCGGTGGGAGAGGCAGGTGTTTGTGTCCCCCTGCACTACATTCTCCGCTCTGCTCTTCACTCCGGTGGGCGTGTTTCGTCACACGCTCTGCGTCACACTGATGTAGACAGAATGAGCGGCTCGTACTATCCCTACCTGAGAAGGGGCTCAGTCCGGTCCGCAGGGATGGGCAGTGTTTCTGGTGAATATGTTTAAAATATTAAATAGTAAGGAGCCTCTAAGACGACATGGTAATTTTTTAATAAGGCATTGCTATAAATAAATACAACCCCATTTCCAAAAATGTTGGGACGCTGTGCAAAACAAAATGCAATGATCTGCAAATCACTTAAACCCCATATTTTATTGAAAATAGTACAAAGACAACATATCAAATGTTGAAACTGAGAAATTTTATTGTTTTTTGAAAAATATTTGTCAGCAAGACGTTCCAAAAAAGTTAGGACGGGGCAACAAAAGGCTGGTAAAGTTGTGTAATGCTAAAAAAAAAACAGTTGGTGGTTGATTGGCAACAGGTCAGTAACATGATTGGGTATAAAAGAGCATCTCAGAGAGGCGGAGTCTTTCAGAAGTAAAGATGAGGAGGGGTTCACCACTCTGTGAAAGACTGCACCATCAAATAGTGCAACAATTCAAAAATAATGTTTCTCAACATAAAATAGCAAAGGACTTTTGCTTTTCATCATCTACGGTACATAATATCATTAAAAGATTCAGAGAATCTGGAGAAATCTCTGTATGTAAGGGTCAAGGCTGAAAACCAGTATTTGCTGGCCGTGATCTTTGGGCCCTCAGGCAGCACTGCATTAAAAACAAACATGATTCTGTAGTGGAAATCACTGCATGGGCTCAGAAACACTTCTGAAAACCACTGTCTGTGAAAACAGTTCATCACTGCATCCACAAATGCAAGTTAAAACTCTAAAACAAAAAGAAGAAACCAAATATAAACAGGATCCAGAAATGCTGCCACCTTCTCTGGGCCTGAGCTCATTTAAAATGGACTGAGGGGAAGTGGAAAAGTGTCCTGTGGTCTGATGAATCAACATGTGAAATTCTTTTTGGAAATCATGGTCACTGTGTCCTCCGGGCTAAAGACCACTCAGCTTGTTATCAGTGCGCAGTTCAAAAGCCATTATTCATTAAGGTATAGGGGGCGTTAGTGCACATGGCATGGGTGACGTGCACATCTGTGAAGGCACCATTAATGCTGAACGACATATACATGTTTTGGCAACAGATGCTGCCATCCAGATGACGTCTTTTTCAGGGAAGGCCTTGATTATTTCAGGAAGACAACGTCAAACCACATTCTGCATGTATTACAGCAGCATGGCTCCATATTAAAAGAGTCTGGATGCTAAACTGACCTGCCTGCAGTCCAGACCTGTCACCCCTGAAAACATTTGGAGGGTTGGCATCAAATTCAAAATGGGCATATATTTTTTAAAAAACAATAAACTTTCTCAGTTTCAACATTTGATATCTTGTCTTTGTACTATTTTCCTTTAAAAATATGGTTTACATGATCTGCACATCATTGCATTCTATTTTTATTTACATTCTGCACAGCGTCCCAACCTTTTTGGAGATGGGGTTGTATATTGATGCCACAAATGAATATATAGAGGCCACAAGTTACTATATTGAGGCCACATTTTACTTAATTGACTTCACAAATTACTATACTATGGAGCCCTGTTGGTTACATCTCATATAAATAATGGCCACGCCTTATTAATTTGTGGGAATGAGATCCTAATGAATGGCCATGACTTAATTATCTTGTTCCCACGCCTTAATAAGTCATTGCCACACATTATTTTTATTTATACAGGATGTCACCAGCAGGGCTCCATACTATATCGAGGCTCTGAATTACTATATTGAGGCCTCAGTTTACTACCTTGAGGCCATGAGTTATGGGCAACGTACTCAGAATCGGGCCAAATAGACTGGCCCAAATTCTGATGTTAGATCTGTACAGACCTTGCAACAACTGGGCCAGAAATGCCCCAAAATCTCTGTAAACTTGGATTTCATTTTTGCCCCCTTTACTACTTTATGTTCTCAAATATGCATTCCTCAGGTATCGCATGTCTCTGTCCTCCACTCTTATATATTTCTTAGATATAAGATTATTTAATTATTTATTAATTTAATAATAAATTAAATTAATTATTATATATAATTTTTTTTCTTATATATGTATTTTTGTTATATCTAAATTCTAAAAGGGGGCTACACACCTAAGATTTTCACTCACCTTGCAGCTGTGTAAATGTGATGTCACAATAAAAGTGACTTGATTTGAGTTGAGTTGAGCTGATTTGAGTTGAGTTGAGTTGAGTTCAGTTGAGCTGAGCTGAGCTGAGTTCAGTTGAGTTGAGTTGAGTTGAGTTGTTGGCTGTGAGCCCCAAAGCCTCGAGTTAACCCAGGAGTTAAATGTGACTCTAAAAGTGAAAATCAGTTCCGGCGTCTTTAACCTCAGCAATGCAGAAACACACCAACCACCGGCAAAGAGTTTTAATGAGCACATAACTGCTCAGGTGTTAGCCTTTGAGCTAACATTAGGTGTTGTATTTTAGCTGGACAAAAGTACCAGTTAGCATGAAACCTTCCCATTAACAAGAACAGTTTCCCTGCACAGTTTGTTAAATTATACCAATATTAATAGACTTTCATTGAATGAAATAGCAGTTAGATAAATTTTACTTTACCTGATGAGAAGCTGCTGCAAGCCACCTGCGTTTAGGCTACATCGCCTTTACACATTAAAAATGGATATAAAAGAAACAATTAAACAGAATAAAATAAATAGTACACAATTGGTGGCAAAAAGAATAAAACTACAAACATTAAGTAAAAAGATACGTTTTAAACTGCTTTTTAATATTGCTAAGTGAAAACGCTTGTCGTATGCCTTGCGTGTACTCAGTGGGGTCTGGGGACAGAATTTGAATGACCCCAAAATGGTTCATTGTTAACTTTTAGAAATAGCAACAGACAGAATACGGATCAGAAATGGGTATTTGGTCAAACTGGCTCACAGTAGATCCATCGCTTCATAGTATTAAGTACAGAGTATGACTTAAACACTATATCCATCCACTTACAACCGCACGGACCAAGTGTACTGAAGTCAAGCCAGTGTAGCCTGTGAAAACCTATTCATAGCCTCTACCTAATACTTTGGTAGGACACCACCATCTAGTGGCACGGACCAGAAACTACACTGGAGCTGCTGGTGGTGCTACTACAGTATAAAAGTCTAAAGAGGATGAATACATTTAATAGATACTACATGGAGACAGTGTCATAGTGTTTGCTTCTGTCATATTCTTATTTTTGTAACTGACCTGTTAAACATGCAAAAAAGTGCAACTTTGTTATTTTACATATACAAGGATACAGTAAAAAATTGGGCTTCTCTGGTAAATAAACATTAAAACAAGGACATTCTTGCATATATACATGTATAGAAGTACAAAAGTATACTGGTGCATTTGGAAATGTTCTAATAATTATATTATATATGTTATACATAGCAATATGTTTAATGTTGAGTTATTAGTCTTTCTTAACATTTATATTGTTAACTAAGTTGCTTTAGCAGACTGTAGCTGCAGCTGTGCATATTATGTTCATTTATTTTGTCAACTACTATGAATTACTATCTTTCGCATTTTGTGTAAATAATGAAATTACAGACTGTAGTCCATCTGTTTCTCTGCATACTTTGTTAGCCCCCTTTTACCCTGTTCTTCAGTGGTCAGGACCCCCATGGACCCTCACAGAGCAGGTACTATTTGGGTGGTGGGTCATTCTCAGCACTGCAGTAACACTGACGTGGTGGTGGTGTGTTACTGTGTGTTGCGCTGGTCTGAGTGGATCAGACATAGCAGTGCTGCTGGAGTTTTTAAACACCTCAGTGTCGCTGCTGGACTGAGAATAGTCCACCAACCAAAAATATCCAGCCAACAGCGTCCTGTGGGCAGCGTCCTGTGACCTCCGATGAAGGACTAGAGGATGACCAACACAAACTGTGCAGCAGCAGATGAGCTATCGTCTCTGACTTTACATCTACAAGGTGGACCGACAAGGTAGGAGTGTCTAATAGAGTGGACAGTGAGTGGACACAGTGTTTAAAAACTCCAGCAGCACTGCTGTGTCTGACACCCCACCACCACGTTAGTGTTACTGCAGTGCTGAGAATGATCCACCACCCAAATAGTACCTGCTCTGTGAGGGTCCATGGGGGTCCTGACCACTGAAGAACAGGGTAAAAGGGGGCTAACAAAGTATCAGAGAAACAGATGGACTACAGTCTGTAACTGTAGAACTACAAAGTGCACCTATATAGTAAGTGGAGCTGATAAAATGGACAATGAGCGTAGAAACAAGGATCATAATGTTATGCCTGATCGTTGTATTTAGCATAATAATTTAATTGAACATGCTCTATTTCTCAAGCTATAAACAAAAAGGCAATGTTCTTGAAATGAATGGAATATTCCATCTGAAAATGCATGGCTAAGCACAACACAGTGGATGAGCATTTCTGTCGATGTTGTTGGTTGTTGATACTAACCCAGTTCCTGTATTAGTATTAGTACTGTGCACTGATTCACTACATTCAGAACAACATATGTAGCTCCGCCCAGACTAATAAACAATCAAACAGTCACAGTCAGCGTGGTTCTGCCATGTGCTGCATTGAGAATGAAAGCCACCTGCAGTCATTGGAGACCCTGCCTTTAGACTCAGCTTCCCCCAGGCTAAGAAAGATCTATGCAGCCTCAAGCCAGTCTGGACTGCTCCGGCATTCAGCAAGTATATTCTACATTTTCAGAAAACTATGCACTCGTGGAGCGCTGAACATGTTTGAAAGTTCTACTGCAATGAAACAGCGTCAACAAAAACGAGCCACAATGTTTTAAGATGACGTGAATGAAGTGAATGAGCTCATGGTGCTGTTCTGTGTGTCAGCCGCGACCTGATGACTTTCACCAAGAAGATGCAGACGATAAACATCCTGACGATCTGTCTGTGCAG